TGAGATTGTGGGTCTGGGCATGCAAGAACCCATCCCATCCCACCCCCCCCACCCCATTGCGTTCCACCCAATCCCATCCCACCCCATCCTGGGTTTCTCCAGCCCCTGCCAGCAGCTCTCTCCCGTCGATGGCCCCAGCGCGGCCGGATTCCCGGCTTCCCGGCAGGAATGTGCCGGGGGAGTCCAGCCCCCCGCCCGCCGGGGCCGCTTCCTCTTTCGGCGCTATTTAAGCGGCGCCCGGCGCGTCCCACCCGGGCGGGCCATGGAGCGCATGGAGGTGACCGAGACCTTCGCGGGCATCGCCTTGCCCGGCCACCTCCACACCCAGGAGTCCCTCGGCTTCGCCGCCGCCTTCGCCTTTCGCCCCACCGACGTGCTCATCGCCACCTACCCCAAATCGGGTGAGGGGCAGGGGGACACGGGGACAGCGCTGGGGACCTCCGGCTGGAGGGAGGGCGCGGGCCGGGCTCCGCCGGCGGGGCTGGGAGGGGGCCGGGCTCGGGGACACTCGGACCGCTGTCAAAGTATGGGGAACTCTGGCCAGCAGCTCCCGCCCCCCAAGCCCCCTGTGCTGCTGCCCCACACTGTCCCAGCCCCAGAGTGGTGTCTCTGTGGGGGTCTAGGGGGGCCACATGGTACTGCCATCCCAGTTGCTGCCCCGGGACGAGCTGATGGTACAGGACAGGATAGAATAGGATGGGATGGGACTGGCCAGGGTGGGATGGGAAGGGCCAGGCTGTGCTGACCCATTCCGTGCCAAGCCAAGTTGTGCTGATCTGCTCCACAGCATGCTGTGCCATCCGATGGCACGTGCCATTGCAGTGCCATGCTGTGCTGAGCCATGCCATTCCATGCCACCCCATGGTGCCATGCCATGCACTGCCCCATGCTGAGCTGGCCCTGACCTGACTCCCACCTCCACAGGCACCACCTGGATGCAGGAGATCCTGACGCTGATGTTCAGCCTTGGGGACGCTCGCCCAGCCAAGACCATTCCCAACTGGGAGCGGGCTCCCTGGCTGGAGCAGATCTACTGCCGGGAGGCTCTGCGGGACACAGAGACCCCCCGGCTGCTCACCACCCACATGCCTGCCCACGTCCTGGCCCCTGCCCTGCAGCGCAGCAAGGCCAAGGTGAGAGGGAAACAGATAGCCTGGGGGGATCCCCATCAGTCTGGGGTGTCCCCGCAGGGACATTCCCACAGCTGGGGAAATGCCAGGAGCTTTCTGAGCTGGGTGGAGCAGAATGCCCCCAGCCATGGGGGTGACGCTGTGTCCCCCCCAGGTGATCTATGTGGCCAGGAACCCCAAGGATGTCGCCGTCTCCTTCTACCACTTCCACCACCTGGCCAAGTTCCTGCCCGACCCTGGCTCCTTTGACGCCTTCCTCACGCAGTTTCTTGAGGGCACAGGTAAGGGCTGGGGATGTCCCTGGAGGGGGGGACTCGGCCTCAGGGCTGCCCATCAATTCCTGCCTCCCTCCAGTGCACTATGGTTCCTGGTTTGACCATGTCAAGGGCTGGCTGGGCCAGCGGCACCTCCTGGACATCCTCTACGTCACCTATGAGGAGCTGCACCAGGTGAGCCCTGCAGTTTCCCTGTCCCTGTCCCCGTCCTCAGAGGTGCCCAGCGCTGACCATGCCCCTGCTCCAGGACCTGCGTGGCACAGCGCAGCGCCTCAGCACCTTCCTGGGGTGCCCGCTGGCCCCAGAAACGCTGGCAGCCCTGGAGCAGCACTGCAGCTTTGCTGCCATGCGGGACAATGCCATGGCCAACTACTCCCTCATCCCCCCCGAGATCATGGACCACAGCCAGGGCCGCTTCATGCGCAAAGGTGAGGAGGTAGGGGCTGGAGGCACACGGGTAGCACGGGGGCAGCATCCCTGACCCCCTCTGCCCTCTGTCCCCCAGGTGTGGTCGGGGACTGGCGCGACCACTTCTCCCCCCAGCAAAATGCCCTCTTCAACAAGCGCTACCAGGAGGAGATGGGGGACGTGGAGCTGCCCACGCAGTGGCCCATGGCCTGAGGGACCTGGGGGGACACTCACCCCAACCTGCTGAGAACAACTGTAGCGGGAGCACTCTGCGTAGGCAACCCTTGGCACCCCACAACACCCTCCCACATGTCACCTGGGGCCAGGGGTTCCCATGGGGATGGGGGACATGGCACTGTGCCACCCCCCTGGGGATGGGGAACTTTTCCAGCTGCGCACTATGGCCATCCCTGTGGCCTTGCTCCCCCCAGGCAGGGGCACGTGGCCGTGACCCCTCTTTCCGCCCATACCGCCCTGCGGAAATAAATATTTATTGTTGTTCCCAGGCAGGCTGTGTGTTCCCACGGGTGTCAGGCGGGAAGCGGGAAGCGCTGGCGTTATCAGGGACACATCGGGGTGGGGACCCTTCCTTTGGGACCTTATCAGCAGCCGGGAGCAATGGCCGGGCGGCCAGCGGGGGCTGTGGCAGGGTGCCAGGCTCGTGGGGAGTGCCGGGCTCCGTGGGGGGTCATAGCAGGGTGACAGGTTTTGCCAGCGGAGCCCAGGGCACAGAGCCAGCTTTTTCAGCAGCACCCAGGCTCCCCTCCCCCTGGAGTCTCCATACCCCAATGCAGCCCCTTCCAATGCCACCTGCACCCCAACATCCCCTCACCTTGCCCCAGTGAACCCCTTCCCAGTGCCCCCTGCACCCCAATGCTCCCACCCTGTTTCAGTGCACTCCTTCCTAGTGCCCTCTGCACTCTGGTGTCCCAACCCTGCCCCAGCGCAAACCCTCCAGATGCCCCCTGCACCCCAACATTCCCCCATCCTGCCTCAGTGCACCCCGTCTCCTGGAGCCCCCTGCACCCCACTGCCTCCACTCCACCCCAGTGCTCCCCTTCCTGACCCCTGCACCCCAGTGCCCCCTTCCTGACCCCTGCACCCCAGTGCCCCCTGATACCCCCCATCCTGCCCCAGGCTCTCCCCAATGCTTTGGGAGGGGGCCACAGTGCCCTAACCATCCTGTTTGGATGCTCCCCCTGCCCATCTCCCCTCCTGGGGTGTTTGCACCCAGGGGCTTGTTCCACCTCCCCTCCCCCAGCACTCTGGGATGCTCCAGGCAGGCAGGACACCTCCCAGTCCCTCTCTGGCCACAAGCCAAGGAATTGCATTGTGGAGCCACCTGGGAAGCACAGGCAGTGTCAGTGATTACCCAGCTTCATTATCTGGCCCCTGCAGGGTGAGCACAGGGCCAGGGTGAGGAGTGTGGGGACTTAGCCCTGGCACCACCAGAGCCCCTGGACAGGGCTTGGCTGAGAGGGGGGAGGTGGTGAGACTCTCTCTGCGGTCTGCAGCACTGTGGGACAGTGACACTGCTGTCTTGGCACCCCTACCAGCTCTGCCACACCTGTACCCCTTCCATTCCTGCCAGCTCTGCCAGCTCTGCCAGCCCTGCCACCCTTCTCTGTTCCTGCCAGCATTGTCACCCCTGCCACCCCTCCCAGCCTCTCTGCACTGGCAGTGGGTACAGCCTGACACAGTGACTCTGGACACCCCCAGCACCACGGGGTCTCTCCACACCCATCCTGGGGCACCCATCTGTCCCCATGGACCTGGGTGCCAGGGCAGCCCCCTGCCCGTGCCAGGGCCAGCCGGTGCTGAAGCCTCCCAGGCGGCAGGTTTGGGTTTCCATGGCAACATCCAGGATCCCGCTTTTGTGGGAAATGAATCAGGAGCTATCTATAGGCATTGGATGGGGGTGCAGGCAGTGTGCCCTGCCTGTGCCCTGCACTGGTGGCAATGTCCAAGGGCCAGCAGGGCCACCCCAGTGACTGACTACCCACACGGGGACAGTCTGGGCCCTGTGTCCTCACCTGGGGTGATGGCATAATCCCAGAGCCCAGAGCAGTGCCACCCCCAAGGCTGGTTCTGGGCTGGCCCCTGTCCCATGGCACTGTGCCAGGCTCCAGTTTCAGTCCCTGTGGTGGCCTTTCTCACACCCTGCCCCAGGGGATGTCACCTCCCCAGGAGCATCTGCTGGCACAGGACTGGCATCAGCAGCACACAGCACGTGGTAGCAGCATGGCACAGTGCCCAGCACACGGCACAGCATGGTGAGTGGCACATGGCACACGGAACGTGGCACATGACAAATAGCACATGGCATGACATGCAGCACACAGCACGTGGCACATGGCAATGCACATGGCACACACAACACAGCACACGGCACAGTGCCATGTGGGACAGACACATGGGGCATGCAACACCACGTGACACATGCCACAGAGCACATGGCACACAACATGTGGCACACGGCACACAGGACAGGACACATGGCACACAGCACGTGTTTCATGGCACATGGCAACACAGTATGTGGCACATGATGCAGGGCACATGGGACATGGCATGTGGCCCATGGGACATGACACGTCACAGCACATGTCACAAGGTACATGCATGTAGTGCACGGCCCATGGCACACATCATATAGCACATGGCACACGGTATGTGGCACAGGATACGTGCACACAGCACATGGCACACCACACAACACAGGTCACATGGCACACAACACACAGCACACGGTACATGACACTCAGCAGACATCACATGGCACGTGTCACAAGAGACGTGGACATGGTGCCCAGCCTCATGGCACACATCATACAGCACATGGCACAAGCACGTGGTAGTGGCCTTGTGCAGGGCAGCAGGGCCGGCTCCGTTGCCACCTCCCTCAGCTCTGTGCCCTGGATTTGGGGCCGTGGCACAGCAGGGGAGTGCCCACTCCGGCACATGAAAGCGGCAGCTGCTCCAGCACCCAGAGCTCTGGTGCTCCCAGCTCATTGTTGGCAATGGACAGCTGAAATGTGGGGGCAGCAGGGGGATGCCATTGACTCTTGTCGCCAGCCAGGGTGGCATGGTATCACCACAAGGGGACATGGGCAGCACCCAGGATCTGCCAGTCCCTCTGTCCATCCCCCATTAACCCCCAGGGAGGGTGGCACCCAGAGAGCAGGAGGATGGGCACAGGGGTGTTGCTTTATTGGGGGAGTCATGCAGCCTCCAAACATCACAGTGACAGAGAAGCAGGGACCGAGAGGACCACGGGGACAGTAGGGATGGAGCGGGGACAGGCCGCAGGGCACGGACCACCAGGGGTGGGCAGTGCCTGCTGGGGACCCCTGGGCAGTGCAGAGAGTGTCCAGCACCGGGGGGCAGGACCTACCCCATGTCCCAGATGGGGGGGCTGTGGCAGGGCTGGGACTCGTGGGGACCCCGTCTGTCCCTGTGCCACACCAGGGGGAGCTGGGGATCCTCACTGGGGGGAGCCAAGACTGGGGTGGAGGGTCCCTCACTGAGGCGACCCAGTGCTGCAGCTGGGGGCACTGGGGATCTCTAACTGGGGAAGCCGAAGCTGGAGTGGGGGCTGTGAGTTCCTCACTGGGGGAAACTGAGGCTGGGTTGGGGGTACTGGGGGTCCCTCACTGGGGGGAGCCGAGGCTGGGGTCGGGGGTGGGGGCCGGGGGCAGCGCGGGGGAACGCCTTGTAGCTGTAGTACTCCACCACCTGCTTGGGCACCTCCGCCAGCACGCACTTCGCCAGGGCTGTGGGTGACGCCTGCGGGACACCGGGGACACCGCGGGACACCGGGGTGAGCCGGGACCACCGCGACACCTGCCCGTCCCGCAACGCGGAGCAGCACCCGTGGGAACTGGCTCCCTGTGCCGGGATGTGGGGACGGGAGGGGACTGGAGGGGATGGAAGGGACGGAAAGGAACCGGGAAGGACCGAAGGGAACAGAAGGGACAGATGGGGAGGAGAATGGATGGTAGGGGGCAAAGAGGGACGGGGGTGGGACGTGAGGGAACAGGGAGGGACAGGAAGGGAACGGGGAGGGACAGGAAGGGAACGGGAGACGACTGGAAGGGACAGGAGGGGACGGGAAAGGGCAGGAGAGAACCAGAGGGGATGCGAAGAACCGGGAGGGGCCGGCAGGACCCCCGGCTGCCCCACTCACGTTCTTGAACTCGCGGAAGGGCACGAACTGGACGATGTCGCGCAGGACGGGCTCCCCCTTGGGGGAGCGCAGGACACCGTCGTCCCCGTCCAGGATCTGCATGTCGGTGAAGTCGGCGTTGCCTACCCCGACGATGATGATGGACATGGGCAAGTAGGAGGCCCGAACAATGGCCTCCCGCGTGTCTGCCATGTCTGTCACCACCCCGTCTGTCAGGATCAGCAGGATGAAGTATTGCTGGGGAGACAGGGATGTTCTGGGGGAGCTGCCCAGCCCCACACAGAAACACCCACAGGTGTCACGAGCATGGGGGGTCTCAGCCCAGCCTGGTGCCCCAGTGGCACCCACCGACGCTTCCTTGGTCCGTTCCTCATCGGCTGCCACACGAGCCACCTTGGTGATGATGGGAGCCACGTTGGTGGGGCCATAGAGCTGGATTTTGGGCAGGCAGCTCTGATAGGACTCAACAACACCCTGGATGCCTGAGGGGGTGTGAGGAGTGAGGAGGGACATCCTGGCCCACTGGACCCGACCCCACTGGAGCTGGACTTACCCTCACACTCATCGTTGTCGGGGTTGAAGTTGATGGCGAAGTCGTGGGAAACCTGGAGGGCAGGAGGGGAGGGGGCAGCCAGTGCCCACCCCCCACCCACTGAGCCCCACCAGTGTCAGGGCCTGGGGTGTCTGGAGGGATGAACACATCCCTTGAGTCCCACAGGGCCCTGGCACTCCGACTACCCCTCACCTCATACTTGGGGGGGATCCTGGCACCAAAGCCCAGAGCTGAGAATTTCTTATCGCTGCAAGGGAAGGGGTGTGAGGAGCTCTGGTGCCATCACTGGGTAGCCATCAAGGGGGCGTTGGACCCCAGGGTGGCCGTCACCAGGGTGTCTGGCCCTGGGGAACCCACCAGAGCGACCAACCTGTCATAGTCCTGGCAGATCTCACCCACAGCCACCAGCGCCTTGAGATACTCGTTGGGCTGGTAGGGGTTGATGTAGTGCAGGGAGCAGCTATTTCGGGGGTCCCCGTTGGAGGCTGTGAAGTCGATGGCCACCTGGGGTGGAGGGGGGGCAGGGAGTGTTTCCCCAGGGCAAGCTGGGCCACCAGCGTGTCCCCACTGGGTGGAGTGGGGGACTCTGCTCACCGTGAAGTGGATCTGGCAGCCGCCCATGATGTAGTCCAGAAAGGAGTAGACCCTGTGGATCTTCCAGAGGGACCCACGTCAGCTGGGCCTGCTCACGCTGGCCTACGGAGCCAGGCATGGCTGTGCTCAGCACGGCTCGGCACGGAATGCAGGCACTCCTGCATTCCCACTCACCTTCAGGTCCAGCAGCACCACAACCCCCGAGTTCTTGTAGTTGCGCTTCTTAATCTTGTACTTGGGGTTCATGCAGTCCCACTGCACCTGTGGTACACGCGGCACCTGCGCTGCCTGCGGCCCTCGCCCCAGGACCCCCATCCTTGGCACCCCCAGACCCCTGGTCCCATGGCTTTGCAGAATGGTGACCCAACAACCCCATAACATTGTGGCCCCGTAACCCTGCAGCCCCCCGTGGCCCTGCAGCACAATGACTCCACAGTCCCAGAACATTGTGGCCCCATAAAAACACAGCCTCACAGCATCATGTCTCTGCAGCATAGTGTTCCCACAACCCTGAAGAACCATAACCCTGCCTCCCTGCAGCCCCTCAGCCCCACAGTGCTCCAGCCCCATAGTGTCATGACCCACAGCCCCACAGTTCTATAACCACACAGCCCCATAACCCTGCAACCCCATAGCCCCAGGTTGCAGCTGCCTTCCCCCACTCCCAGCCACTCCCTGGGATCCAGCCACCCCATCCATGGCTGATTCTCCAGAGGACCCCAAACCCACCATCCCCTCCCCAAAGAGGTAGGCAGCAGCAAGGAGAGAATGACCCCAAACCCAGAGGAGTTGCTGGGAGGTATCTGCTGGGATGGGCTCTTCTGACAGCACACAGGGGTGATCCCCAGGCTACCCCTGTGTCCCCGTGTCCCACCTTGTTCTCCCCCATCGCCTTCTGCATCTCCTCAAAGGTGGTGAAGAACTCCCCAATGAAGTCGTGTTTGCCCCGGGAGTCGTAGTCCCACACCACACCCTGCAGTGGGCACAGCTCAGCCCTGGCACCGGGGGGGTCCCTAGCACACCCCCAGGGAAGCCAGGGTACAGATACCTCTGGGGTAGGGATGGGGGTCCCCATTTCCTTTCCTCACCCTCAGCTTCCTCTTCTCCTCACAGCTGCAGAGTGAGTTGAGAGACACCTTGAAGGGCTCCCAGACAGGACTCAGGTTGTTCTTCACCACCTGCGGGACAGGGAGCTCAGCAGGGCTGAGGAAGCTCCAGGGTGGCTGTGGGGCAGCCGAGGGACTGGCCCTGCAGGGCCTCACCTCCGTGCGGTACACGAGCTGCTCGCTGCGGTCATCGTCAATGCGGTAGATCTCCAGGAAGGGATCCGACTTGCTGAAGAGGTCCTGGAGGAAGAGGAGGGGGCAGGGCACTGCCCACCCTGCCCACCCTGCCCCATGTCCCCCCTGGCACCTGGCTCACCTTGTCATCCAACTTCTTCGCACGGAAGGCGAGCTCCACGTAGCCGTTGTTCCCCGAAATCTCCTCAGAGATGATCTGCAAGGAGAGGCAGCCACAGGGTGCTCAGCGCCTGGCATGGCTTTGTCCCCTGCCTCTCACCTCCCTGTGGTGCCCCAGGAGCGGACAGGGTGCCATGTGCCTCCCCTGGGGCAGCAGAAACCCCCAGTGGCCAGCAGACACCAACGGGGACCCTGAGCCCTCCTCACTCCCAAGAGCCTGAGGGGCTGCAGGGCTGGATGGCAGTTCAGACAGGAGGAGGGTCACTGGGAACCCCCCACACCTCCCAGCTCAGTGGCACCCACAGCCCAGTGACAGCCCACTGACTCAGCCCAGATGTCCCAGCTTGATGCCTTCCCAGCATCCCAGTCCAGTGCCACCTATGTGTCCTGTTCAGTGTCACCCTAGGGTCCCAGGTTGGTGTCACCTCAGGGTCCCAACCCCTTGTCAGCAGTTCACCCCATCCCAGTGCCACTTCAGTGCCCCAGGTTGGTGTCACCCCAGGGTCCCAGCCCGATGTCACTCCAGAGCCCCTGCTCAGTGCCACACCATTGTCCCACCCCCGGTGCCACCCCCAGCCCAGGCTCGGTACTCACCGTGATCGTGGACTTGCCTGCGAACTTCCCGTACTTGAGGAACAGCGGCTTCGTCACCCGTTTCTGCGCCACGATCTGCAAGAGCCCAGAGTCGGGGTGGGGACACCATGGAGGGGGTCCCCGGGTGGGCGTCCCTGGGCTCACCTGCCCCACGGTGCACTCCATGCCCCCCAGGAAGTCATCGTCGTGCGTGCCCACGCCGGTGTGGCCGTGGCTGTCGTACACCTCGAACCGCAGCTTCTGCACCTCCTCGAAGTAGTAATCAACCGTGAAGATCTTGGCGAACACGGGGTTCAGGTTGCTCTTGATCACCTCGCTGCGATCCACCTGCACGGGAATGGTGCTGGGCCAGGGCCGGGATGGGCACAGCCAGAGTTGCCTGGGCCTTCAGGTGACAGAGCTCACACCCAGCTGGGAATGGGGATGTGGGAGCCTAGGGGGAATGGGAGTGTGGGGAGGTAGGGAGTGGGAGATGACAAATGGGGACTGCTGAAGTGGAGGATGAAGGGATGAGGGTGCTGGGATGTGGGATGACAGGATGTGGGATAGAGGGATGGGGGATACTCAATGGGGGATAAACAATTAGGGAATGAAGGGATGGGAGGTGAAGGAATGAAGGATGGCAGGATGGGGGTGCAGGGATGGAGAATCCAGTGCTGGGGGCTAAAGGATGGGAGGTGCAGGGATGAAGGATGGCAGAATGAGGAGGTTGGGATGGGGAATACAAGGATGGAGGATGAAGAGATGGGGTGTGCCAGGAAGAACCAGCCGTGCACAGGCATTTCCCCGTGCCCAGGTGAACAGCATTTGGAAGAGCCCCATGTGCCAGCCCCAGGCCCTGGGATCAGCCCTCTCCCCAGGCTCCCCATGGTCATCCAAGGGGATATTCTAGCTCTGACCCCACTTTGCCACAGCTGCACTGGAGCAGAAGCAGAATGCTGGTGCCAGGATGAACCCCTGTGTCCCCACCCTGGGGTGGCCATAGCTGGGGGTCACTAGCCCACAGCCTCAGTGGATGCTCAGTGTGTCCCATCTATGCTTGGCAGCAGGTGCTGAGCAGTTCCAGAGCCTCCTCCACACCCATCCCTGTAAACGTTGACTCAATGGGACACATCCTGGACAGGGCACCCTGCCAGCCCCTGGCCCCTGCCCACCTCCTGTCCAACCTGGCAACATCTGCTGAGCCTGCACCGCTGCCACACTGCCAGGGCCATCCATGTCCCTCCTGTGTGGGCACTGCCACACCCTCACCCTGGGGATCTGGTTTTCGGGCACCCTGAACCCTCCAGCACCAGCCACTGCCAGAGGGTCCTGGGCTGTCTCAGCACTCAGTGCCAGAGCCACACCTCGGCTGGGGGACACGGGCTGGCAGGGACAGGGAGGGGACAGGGCAGGGGGTCAGTACAAAAGGTGGTCCAGGAGGAACACTCTTGCCTCTTGGTGCTGGCTGGTGTACGGCACAGCACAGCACCGCGTGGCACAGCATGGCACGGCACACGGAGTGTGGCACGGCCGGGTACAAGGGTCTGGCACGGTACACACACGGTAGCTGGCACGGGGCCCCTGTGCCCCCCCGACCCCGCGCTGGCTCGAGCAGAGTCGATGACACGCCGAGGGATTTAGCGCTAAATCCGCCGGCTGAGCAGCCGAGATTAGAGCGGAGCTGCCGGCGCCAGCCAGGGCTCGGCGTGGGGAGGGAGGGAAGGAGCCGTGCCAGCCCCAGTGCCAGCCTCAACACCAGCCACGTCTCATGGGGTGACCAGGGACCCCCAGAGCAGAACACAGGGCACGGTGCCAGCCCTGACCCCCTCTGAGATGCCTACCCCACACAGGGTGACACCAGCCCGCCAGCCCTGAGCCACCCTAGGGATGGCCGCGTTGTCCCTTGTCCCCGTTCCGGGGCAGCGGAGCTGCGTTGGAGGCACCGTGGGCACCCCACCCCTCTCCTCGGCCCTGCCACAGCCCCGGGGGGCTGGATGTGAGCCGTTGTCAGCAATGCCCCTCATGGGCTGCTGGGTTCCCACAGTGCTCTGCCCTGACCTGTGATCCTCATGCTCTGTGACCTGCACTTGGGCACCCTGTGTCCTTCTCTGCACCCCGCACCTTGTACCCCACACTGAGCTCTGCACTGTGCATCCAGCAGCCTCTGTGTGCACCCTGCACTCCGTTCTGCACCCTGCTCTGCACCCTGCACCTGCTCTGTACCTTGCACCTCATTCTGCACCCTGGTTTGAACCCTGCACCCAGTTCTGCACTCTGTACCCTGGTCTGAACCCTGCACCCCATTCTGCACCCAGCACCCTGCTCTGCACCCTGCACCCAATTCTGAACCCTGCACCCCATCCTGCATAATCTCCTGCACACCACTCTGAACCCTGCACCCCACTCTGCACCTTATTCTGCTCCCTGCTCTGCATCCTGCACCCAGGACCCTGCTCTGAACCCTGCACCCCATTATGCACCCTGTTGTGCACCCTGCACCCCATTCTCCACTATACTATGCTATACAATCTGCACCCTGGTCTGCACCCTGTACCCAGTTCTCTGTTATCTCCTGCACTCTGCTCTGCACTCTGTACTCTGCTCCCCATCATCTCCTGCACCCCACCCTGCAGCCCCCCGTGCCCAACACCCTGTGTCCAGCACCCACCCACATGCACCCATCACCCCATGCCCAGCCCCACCATGTCCCTGGTGCCTGCCCTGCCCTGCCCACTGTGGGGGTTGCTGGCAGTGCCCCCCACCCTCCTACCTCCATCCACTGGCCCTGGGACTGCATCAGGAGCAGGACGCAGGGGTCTGACTTGTTGAGGGTGTCTCGGTCCAGGAGGTGTTTACAGCTGACCCGCAGCTCCACCTTGGAGAGCACGGCCAGTGGGGCCTGCGGGCACGGCTCAGGCACAGCACCCATGCCAGCCGGGGCACGGGGGGCGGCCAGCCGGGCCGGGGGGCACGCAGCCCCGTGGGCGAATGGCATCGGGGCCGAGGGTGGCCACTGCCTTCGGTGCTGTCAGGGAGCCGGGCAGGTGCCTGTCATGCCCGGGGCTCGGTGCCCCGCGGTGCCAAGGAGGTTCCTGGGGGCAGCACAGGGGTGGGGTGCTCCGGGGGCTGGAGGGACCCCACGACCCGCTCCGGGGCAGGGTGGCTGGGTCCAGTCCCGATGGCTCCGTGGGGCTCTGCAAGGCATCAAAGTACAGTGGGGTGAGCAGGAGCTGGGACACCCTCATGATGCTGCCCATGTACCCTCAAGCGCCAGCCAGACCTGTGGACTCTATTGTGGGGGGTTCACCCCCCAGCCCCTTGGGCTGACCAAGGGTCCCACAGGGCCATTCTCAGCTCTGCCCCAGGCCCACCCCAGGGACAGGATATGTCCCGTGGGGAAGTGGGACCTGAGTGGGGCTGAGTGGCCATGCAGGAACTGGGGTTGTGCAAGCAGCCCTGGGTATCCACCCTGGGGTGCCTTGAGTGGGGCTAGGGAGCAGAAACACCTCCCTGTCCTTTCAGGCAGCACCCTCCAGCCTGGACAGGACTCTCTGGGAGGGCAGTGGGGACACCAGGTCAGTGTCCCTGTTGCCAGGTGATGGATTTCCCTGTGCTGGGGTCAGGGACCACCTCCCTCCTGAGGCTGGTGACACCTAGCAAGGTGATGCAGCGTGAAGGGGCATTGAGGGGCTCTGCCAGTCCCAGCCCAGGCTTGTCCCCCACCTGCAGCCCCAGGGGGTGGCTGAGTGGGGAAGGGGTAGCTGCAGAGCAGCCCCTACATGCCCAGCCTGGCTAAACTTTCCTAGTGCAGTCATGCATTGTCCAGGCCCTCCCTGGCACTTGACTCTGGTGCCCCCAGCTCCGGGGGCCATCATCCCCCTCCCAGGATCGCAAGCACTCCTTGGCATCCATTGCCCAGTGGAGGGGGCACCGGGTCCCACCCTGCTCATCACCCCCTCACCTGGGTGCTGGTGGCCTGGGCTCCACAGGTGGCCGGGCGAGGGCCGGGGTCGGTGTGCCAAGGGGAGCCGGTGTGCCAGCCGTGCCGGTGTGCCAGCCGTGCCGGTGTGCCAGCCGGAGCTGCTGCCGCTGCCACCTCCACACAACTGACTCAAGCTGCAGTTCGGGAGCGGAGCCCTAAGAGGGAGATGGATGACAAGCTCCGTTAACTGCCTCGCTGCCAGTACCGGAGTGGAGCCCACCCATGGGCACTGGGGCTGAGTGGGGTCCCCAGAGTCTCTGGCATTGCCGGCCGTGCCAGGACAAGTGCTACTGCTCCAGGTGAGACCCCCATGGCAGAGACACAGCCCCTTGCCCTCCCCAGCTGCTCCCTGTGGGGTACCCAAGGTTGTTCTGGTCCCAGCCCCCTACACTCTAAGCTAAGACCCCAAGCACAAGGGTGGGGTGCCCCAAACCCACTGGGTGCCCTCCCCACATGCTGGAGCACCGAGACTCATATTCCATGCACATGGAGTCCCATCTGCCCCATTCCCAGCCTGGGACCCCCACCCACCCCTGTCCCCCCAGTGCTGTGGCACTGTCAGCTCAGCTTTATGAAAGATGATGTAATTAGCCCAAATGTGGAGGGATTAAAATGCAGATAGGGCTAATGAGCACCAGGGCACTGCAGGGCTGGGACTTCAGGAGCTAATCCCCAGCCTGCCTGGCAGAAATAGGCCACTCTCTCTCCCACTTCCCCTCGCAGCCCCTGGCATGGCCCAGGAGGGCAGGAGGCACCAGACACACGGTGGGACACGGGGTCCAGGCAGAGGGGCTGAAGAGATGGGCAATGGCTGGCATGGCACAGGCAGCACCACACCGTGCACCTCTTGACTGTGAGCAGCCCAGGGGCTATCCAGCTGTGCCAGGGCTCCAGCACCAAGTGCTTCAACCCATCCCATCCCATGCCATCCCATTCCACCCTATGCCATCCATATTCTCTCTCCAACCTGCTGACAAATGACTTAATTATGCTGTCCAGGTTGCACAATGGCCCCAAATGCAAGCACTCCCAGAGCACTTCCAATCCCAACACATCCTGGTGACCAATCAAACCCCATACTGGGACAAGCAGAGCCTGGAACCGCCAGCAGCAACAAGGATGGGCCAGAATCACCCAACCTTCTCCTGGGCTTCTCTGTAGTGCCACTTGACTGAGGGGTCACAGAACTGCTTGGGTTGAAAAAGCCTCCAAGATCAGAGTCCCACCTGCTGCCCAGCACTGCTGAGACCACCACAAGCCATGTCCCCAAGTGCCTTATCTACCATGGAATGGCCTTTAAGCCATGAAGAAATGGGTGAAAGGTCCCCAGAACAGTACCAGAGGCTGAGCTGAGGACTGAGCAGGGCAGCAGTCCAGCCCTGGGATTCTGCTCCACTGAAGCCCAACTTAAAGGCTGAGACACATCTTATTCCTCTTGTGCCGCTTAAAAAGCAGTGAAGCCTGCTCCCATGTGGGCAGCACTGCCCAGCACCCAAAGGTGACACCCACCATGACACCCCACCTTCTAGAGCTCTGCCTCACACAGAGGCGTGTAAATCAATAAACCTGGAATACCGGCATGGAAGGTAGGGAAGGGGGAGTAGACAAAGCTTGGCACAGAGGGGGTACCCCCAAAGCCCCTCAAAGTCAGAGCAGGAGGGAGCCCAGACTGCAGCCCTGACATAAGGCAGAGGAGTGGGCACAAGGCAGGCGTTTCACAAGCTTTTAGAGAACTTTGGAGATTCCCAGCACAGCAAATGAGGTTTCCCACGCCTGAACACATCCCTGAACCGACACCGGCGCAACTCCACTCGGTACATGTGCCCCAAAAACACAGCACACCCGTCTGTCTACAGCTTTTTATTGACAGTTCTGGGGAGAACAGTTCATTTCTTCTTCTCCACATCCTGCTCCGCCGCTTCCTTGGCGCGCTTGGCACGGATGCCGAAGAGGCGGGCGTTGGCCCGGGCCATGCGCAGGCTGGCGAAGGCCTTGAAGTTCTTCTCGTCTTCCGAGATGACGCGGGCCTTCTCCCGCTTGAACACCTGGGGGAAAGAGGAAGTGCCAGACAGTCAGGCTGCACCTCGGGGAAGGAGCTGAGGCTTTGCAGAGATCTCATCGAGGAACAGAGCGCTCGTGCCACCTACAGGCCCTGCCCTCGGCTGCTCCGCCGGGAACAGCGGCACAGCCGCACCCCGGAGCAGGGATGGAAACAAAGCACCACAGGAAATGTGAGTCAGGTTCACAGAATCACAGGATTGTTCAGGTTGGAAAAGACTTTAAGAGTGTCGAGTCTAACCGTCAGCCCGGCACCAGCAGCGTGTTCACCGCTAATCACATCCGCAAGTGCAACATCCACATGTTTACTGAACACTTCCAGGGATAGGGACTCCACCACTGTCCTCAGCAGTCAGTTCCAATGCTTTATATTTTTTCCATGAAGAAATGTTCCCAATATCCAACCTGAACCTCCTCTGGCAGAACTTGAGGTTGTTTCCTCTCATCCTGTGACTTGTTCCCCGGGAGCAGAGCCCGACCTCCACCCAGCTCCACCCACCAGTCAGGGAGTTCTAGGGGAGCAAGTAGAGGTTGGTGGCACTACCAACAGCAGCTCTGGGAAGCACTGAGGATTCGGGGACAAATGCTGACCACAGAACCTGCCTGGGAACCCCTGCTTCAGCTGCAACCCAAAGTGCCCCCAGTTTCACAGGCACAAGTTCTCTTGAAGGTTTAGTCCTGTTTTTTTTGATCCAGGATGGGTAGTGCCTGCAGACGCTGTACAACACCAAGAAGAGAACCCTCTCCCCAGAGTTCAATCTCAATTATGTCCCACAGAGACTATGATTTAATTACACTTACATTCTTGATGGGCATAACGGGTCCTGTGAGCTGAGTGGCCATTTTGAGTTCCTCTGGCTGCACAAGGAGAGGACAGGAATGTTAAAAAACCAGAATTTAAACTTTCTCAGGTTAAAACCTCAGTTAAAAGCATAGCCTGTACACAGGTACTCAGCTTAAACACGATGCTAATGATCCTGATGGAAGATTTAGCAACAAATGGTAACAAATCCAGCATTTCATTTGGCACAGAGAGCTGCATCAACAGCCCACGTTGTGCCTGGATCCGGCCGGAGGAGCAGTGGCCTCTCAGCTCTGCCAGCTGGAAAAGCTTTGACACCAACTGTGCCATTTTCAGTGTGACATAGAATCACAGAATCGTTAAGGTTGGAAAAGACCTCCAAGATCACTGAGTCCAACCTGTGACTGATTCCCCATCTTGTCACTGAGCCCAGAGCACTGAGTGCCACATCCAGCTGTTCCTTGGACACCTCCAGGGATGGGGACTCTACCACCTCCGTGGGTAGCCCCTTCCAATAACTGACCACCCTTTCCAGGAAGAAATTCTTCCTGATGTCCAACCTGACCCTCCCCTGGCACAACTTGAGGCCTTTTTCTCTCATCCTGTCTCTTGTTCCCTGAGAGCAGAGCCCGATCCCCACCTGGCTCCACCTTCCTGTCAGGGAGTTGCAGAGCGAGAAGCTCCCCCCTGAGCCTCCTTTTCTCCAGGCTGAGTCCCCCCAGTTCATTTATACCCAATACATTCCTCAGCAACTCCTTCCAATGCCGATTTCACTTTCTTCTAAAAGTGTGTCATCAGACAGAAATGACTGAAGATTATTTTATGTAGTTAATTTGCAGCAATCAAATCTGAAGCAGTATTACAGATCAAGGCCCTTCCTTCCTGCTCTGAAGAGGGAGGGATCCACTACAATTAAGCAGCTTGGAGCTGCCAGGCTCCCCAGAAGATCTGAGGACAGCCTGAGCACACCGCTGTGTTCCGTGGCTCGCTCAGCCCCGCGGGAAGCACAGATCCACTGCCAGCAGAGCCAAGGAACACAGCTCTGCTCTGATCTTGGAGAGCTTTTAATGAAAAGCATTTTTGAATGTCAACAGCAACTGCCTTCTGGAGCCTGCCTGGCATGGAGCTGCTCACAGAGCCTGCCCCTCACCCTTCCATACGGCTGGACAGAATTTTCAGGTGGAATTTTCAGCTACTCTTGACAATTTAGCTCCATAAACTAAAACTCAACTGGCTGGGCAAGGACTAAAGCTCCAGGAATCTGCCCCAAACCAGGGCTGCAGCCCCTCAGACAAATGCCTGACCCAGCGTCACTGTGACCCAGAGAGCCCTTTTAGACTCAACCCTGCCAGGCCAGGCCTTATGCTGGGCTCAGACCCACGCTGCATCCAAGGGCAGGGCTGCTCCCCTGGGGGTCACGTCATGGAACAGGCTCAGGAGCTCTGCACACCGGGACAGAGGGACAGGCTGACGCCAAACCTCACAAAGCGGGGCTGTAAACAGCCCCTGTGACACGGTTCCAGCAGCCAGGTACTCACAGAGCTGTCTCCCTTCTTAGGCATGGCTGGCTTCCTCGGGAAGAGGATGAGCTTGGAATGGTACTCCTTCAGCCTCTGCACGTTTGCCTGCAGGGACTCAGTGGACTTGTTCCGCCGCCGGGGATCCACGGAGATGCCGATCGTCCGTGCGAACTTCTTGTTGATGCCAGCGAGCTGGGGGGAGAGAGGGAGCAGTGTCAGCATGCCACTGCTCCCCACAGCCAGGCAGGGCTCCAAGCACAGCCAGCACGGGACACAGGGTCTGGAGGAGGCTTGGCATGGCTAAAGAACCACCTACTCCACCACCAAAGGGTGTCCTGGGGTACCTTAACGCTTAAAACATTCCTCAGACTTTGGTTTTTGCAGGTGGATTTTCCTCAGGAGAGCAAAGAGCAACCCCGGAGGGGGACATTTAAACTCAGATACATACAGACAGGCACTTATGAAGTTGGGACGTGGGTAACTTTGGCTCACTGAATACCGTGAGCTCCATTAAATAACTATTTGTTTTAACCATCTTAAACAAGAAACTCATTTTCTGTTTGAAGACAAACAGCTGTGTCCCTCTTTGTGTTCCACCATTATCCAAAAATTAAAGAAATGTAAGTAATGAAGCATTTGGCACCCAGAAGAACAATTTTCCTGCTTCAGTGCACCAATTTCAGTTATAAATGTTTTAATTAGACACTGAACCAGGCGCAAAGGCAGCTGGTGGCTGCCA